ACAACCAAGGAAAGCAACGTTTGTCTGATATGAGGAAGAGACCGTGAAAGTTGCTGAACCTCACATGAAGTCAGCTGTCAACAAGTGCGCAGTGGCCAAGACATACTTCTAACATGCATCGATACTAACCTAGGCAGAGGTAATAAGGGACTGATGAGTGAGCTGTTAGCGTCGTCTCACTGAAAGCACAAGCCTCATCACCCATCACAATCATTCGGAAGCATATCAGCCTGTTGATTGAATGGACTTTGTAAGTGAGCGACAGATTCTACAATCCTGTTCAACACAAGACAATAAACTCGAGTCTCCCCCGTATCACTTAAACAGCCATGAGACGGAACTCCGTGTTCTCAGAGCCGTCAGAAAATTGCCAACCAATCATGTCGGTGCCGCTGGTCTTGCCACCACCAGCGACATTGAGCTGCGTCTTCCCATCGACATTGTTGATACTAACACATGCACACGCGCGTCAGAAAGCGAACTCAAGGCCAAGTGGGGCTGTACGGAGCCACTTACCGGTAAGAACCGTTTCCGCAGTGCACGATCTTCCAGCGGATGGTGCTGTCGAGCGGCTTGCGAAGCTCCGTCTTGATGTAACCAGCTTTTGGCCCTAGATAGGTTAGCCATGTGAGGAGAACATACATGTCAGTCTGGTTTCGAATTACCGGCCGAAGTCAGATAGAGGCCAGAGCAGGCGGCGATGATGTGGTATTCACGATCGCCTTTTTCGGGCTTGGCATCCGTGCCTCCTGCTGCTACGATCTCAAAATGAGTGTTGTCGGCGCTTTTGGTTCTCTGGCTGGATGAAGTTAGTCAACATGCTCTCTCTGACTGCTCGAGTAACTTACTATAGCTTCACTTGCGTGCCGGCTGTCGTTGCTGCGCCCCAGACGTTCAAGCTCATCTCCGGAGCATATCTGGGCAGGATTTCGTACAATCCGGGGCCGGTGTAGTCGGACATTGTGATATGTTTGAGAAATGATGAATGGTCGAGAAGAGTGTTAGTCTGATTGTGATGAGGAAGGTGCGATGCTGATGGTATTGAAGCTTTCAGTGAGCACTGGAGGTCTTATGTAGACTTCCAGAGCAGCAAAAGCAAATCCCTTCGTCTCATACTTTCTGCAGAAAGGGATCAATAATCTTGGCTGCAGCACAGCTTGAGATTTCTCGGCTACCAGATGTATCCCTTGGAGCCGGATGCCTGAAAAAACAAAGAAAGATTTGGGCCTATGATAGAACTTACCGGACCTACTCAGCTGAGTCATCTATAGTATTCTGAGCCCTATGTGATGGACTGCTAACAACGTCTTTGGTTGGTGTCTGGTCTGCACATGCAGATGCTTCTCTTTGCCACCAACTAGTGTTGCTCGACACCATCTCAATTGTCCTGATCTATTTCTAGTAAGGCCTAGTTGTATCGTACGATACTCGTAAACGGGGTAAGGGGAAGCGGTGCAGGACATCAACCCAGTGCGGATTAGAGCAGTCAAGTTTTGCCGTGGCGAGACAATCAAGCAGACGCCCATCACCATCATCTGAAAGATACATCAAGTACATGAACAACGGAATAGGCGGATAAAATCTGCTGAGCCAGAGTTTCCGTCCATATAACAAGCATGAAGAAGTGCTCCTACCTTCAGACTGTTGTCACGGATTTACTCTTGGCACATCGGACAGGTGGCACACCCACTGGCCGGTTGGATGACAGAGTTCTCTTCTGTAGTATGCATGGGCAGGTGCTGAATATGATATCGGTCCGACTCGCAGTACCGTAACAATCAACGTGGTGTGTGTCGTTCGATGCGACGACGCAGCAGGTTTACTCAGGCATGACGAAGGTTGTACTCTGTAAACAGATTTTCGCAGGAAGAACCCCCCTAATCGGCTTTGCTCGAACCAGTTTCTTTCTCCGTGTCTGTTAAGGCAACGTCCTCATGATGTGCGCTGATGAAGTAGACCGATGATGCTTCACTCTGGCTGTTCGCTAATGCAATAGGTGCGCTGCAGCATCACCCTGGCGAAGCCTACACGTATATTAGCACCCACATGCACAAACAGACATACGGAAACACCCGAATCTATCACAAAAATGGCATTTGGGTCCGACCAAGACCTTCCCGATCGATGTGAGATGGTGGCGTGTGACAGTGGTAGACTTTCCCGAGAACAGCTTGAATGTTTCCGTAGCACAGAGTCTGTGAATGTTGTACTCAACGATTCGCAACTTTCCGTATTTTAATAGAGCTGCAACAAACGCGTCGAGAGGATGCGTGGTCCTGCATCAAAGTTGAATCCTACCGGCCATGTCCATGGGTACTCCCGATCCCGCGCGCCCCGTCCCGCGCACTTTTTGCCCACACCCATCGCAGGGGAGTCGAGTAGGTTACCTGTGACTGGACTAGGCCTCTTTGCTAGTCTGTTCTTACGAAAGTGTACCCACACACAGGGGCCATGCTATTGGTTCCCGGGGGACTCGAGCGGGATGCGGGCAGTCTGCAGCTTGTTCATACTATACCTCTTGCCATCACCCAGGCGGCTGGTACATCAGCCGACGTGCCCGCATGGTAGCAGCAGATGTGGATTAGATCAATTTTATAGGAGAGGCGGTCAGCTACAAAGCGCAAACGAACGTTACACAGACTTGAGAAGGCTGCAACAGAAGCAAATACAGCCAAGGACAGGAGGACAGATGTAGCGCCTTTAACAAGAACCCAGACGCTTTATGGACGTGCTCCGTGATACTGATCAAGTAAAGTATGCGGGGAGCCTGCCTGATATGACTCTACAGGCCAATACAGCTGTCGTCGACGTCTGCCCAAGTGGCAAGGCAGAGTGGTTGCATGCCCAGGAGGTGAGTCTATGGAGTCAATCGAGCACCACACAGGCCGAACTCCGCTGCCATGTATTGTGTACGTTTATCGGAATGAAGGGAGTTTATCGCGCCTTATGTGTTAAGTGTTAGACGTAGGAAAAGGTGAAAGGATTGTAAGACGTATCAAGGTGTTAAGGTCGAAGTCCAGTGGGGCGACCTCGGGAACTTTCTAGATCACGGGCGGTGACTGCCTGGCGCGACCTCGGGACTAACTTTCTTTCAACCCTCCCATACCTTGAAGGATCGCGCAAACATAATTATACGGACGTTCCAACGCGCTACACATTTTTATCGCTCGAACGCACAAACCATATACTACATCACCGCATCGAGTCTAATAACCCCGCGTTCGCTGCCTGGCCATCGCGACCACCCATCCCCCACGGTCGCACACCTACAACCCCAACTTCAGCCACACGCGTATCCATCCACCATGGGCTCCGTAGTCCTCCCCCACCTCCGCACAGGCTGGCACGTCGACCAAGCGATCCTCAGCGAAGAAGACCGCCTCGTCCTCATCCGCTTCGGGCGCGACTCGGACCCAGACTGCATGCAACAAGACGAAGTCCTCTACAAGATCGCCGACCGAGTCAAGAACTTCTGCGCCATCTACCTCTGCGACCTCGACGAAGTCCCCGATTTCAAAGCCATGTACGAGCTCTACGACCCATGTACCGTCATGTTCTTCTTCCGCAATAAACACATGATGTGCGATTTCGGGACAGGAAATAATAACAAGCTGAATTGGGTGTTGGAGGATAAGCAGGAGTTTATTGATATTATTGAGACGGTTTATCGCGGCGCGAAGAAAGGGAGAGGTTTGGTGGTTAGTCCGAAGGATTATTCTACCAGGTACAGATATTGAGGGGGACTTGGGATAAGGGTATTAGGTTGGATTCATGGCGTATTTGGTATTTGGGCACAAGTGGGAGATGCCAGCATAGAAGGGCTTGCACGCGGTTCCTATTACGGGCTAAGATGGTACCGAGGAGCCGCGTGTAGGAAGTCGTAACGCGGCGAGTTTGAAGGTACGACTGCATCATCACGATAGCCTTTGAGGATGCTCACTTAGACTTCTCGTCAGGCGTTATTTGGGACGTAGATAGTGTTCTGGTCATTCAACCATTACGACACGCAACGCAAACGCTTAACGACATGTCATTTCTACGATGTCCTCCGCTTTCATCACGGTCCTGTTTTCTCTGTCGGCACTCTGACGCTATCTTCCCACAACCCACCCCTGACGCCCCGCCAAACAGTCTCCAGTGTCGCCCTTCTCGGTAGCAGTCTCGGAAAGACGACCACCACCTCTCCTTCTCCTTCCACTACGATCATGAGGAAGAACCTAACTTCAAATCCCTTGAACGCCTCGTGTATGAAGACGTCCTGTATACTTGTAGTCGGTATAAATCGCGTAGTGGGTGTCTGGAGATACGTAGAGGAAGTGGTCGAGGTCTGGACACCGAGGCCCCGGAGTACGGTGAGTGATTCTTCTGTGATCTGTATTAGCTTGGGCTTAGGGGGGGCTGAGAAGACGGCGAAGAAAGTACCTGTATAGTTTCGGCGGAAGACTAGGAAGAGTATGAGCAATGTACTGGGTACCAGATATCGCCATTGGCAGGCTTCCGCCAGCTTTACTAGTTGCCTTTCTGTCTCATGGCTCAATACACCCAGCGACAGATCCAGAGACTGAGCTTGTGTGACGCGCCATTTCATCCATAATAACAGGACGCTAGTTATACCCAGCAGCGCTCTCGTCAGTATCCCTGCATAGTATGCTACCAAAGCGGGAAGGGTCCTGGGTACAGAACGCGTCGAGACCGTGTATGTGATGGTCGACGATGTAGGCTGCAGTACTTGCAGCGTCTGCGCCGGCGGAGAGTTGAAGCGGTCAATAAGCTTCAACATCATACTCGAATTGAAGGAGGCATCGCTAGACGGGAACAAGTACAGACGGCGGGATGTGGGGGTGAAAGGAAGCCTCGCGGGACGGGATGACGCGCTCCTTGCTAGCTTCCTTATCGATAAGCGCAATGCCGAGCTCACGTTTTCGGCGAAGCTGCCTGACCTGCACTTGCTCTTCCCTCTCCACCAACACAACACACATCCCATACACATATCACCAGCGATGGAGTCCTCAAAAACAGAGCGCTCCCGCTCTCGCTCCCCAAGAAGATCCCCCGGTCCGCGCAAGCCCAAAACCTTCAGCGGCCTAAAATACAAAGGCGACCGCGACCGCCGCGACCCAGACAGACGACGCGACGATCGCGACCGAGAGCGACGACCACGAGACTCAGACCGCGATCGCGACCGCCGACGCGATGGCTCCAGAGAACGCGAGCGCCGCCCCCGCGACAATTCCCGCGACCGAAGACGAGACTCAAGCCGCGACCGGCGCCGCCGTTCCCGCTCTCGCGACCGCAAACCACGAGACAGCGACCGCGACCGCGACAGCAAACCCAAAGAGAAGAAACCCGCAGCCGCTCCTGCGGCACCTTCTGAGCACATGATCCTCGTCACTATCAATGACCGTCTGGGAACGAAAACACAAGTCCCGTGTCTGCCCAGCGACCCTATCAAACTACTGAAAGCCATGGTGGCAGCGAAGATCGGTAGACCGGTGCATGAGATTATGCTCAAGAGGCAGGGGGAGAGGCCGTTCCATGATAATTTGACGTGTGAGGACTATGCTATAAGCAACGGCGTGCAGATCGATTTGGAGTTGAATACTGGGGATTAAATGGGGGATGGTGGACTTTGGGATATTGGGGTTAAGGTGGAAAAAGGCGAAAGGGGATTGAAGGATGGATTACCGTGGCCAAAGATTGGAAGATGCAGCAACAAATCATGATACCCAATGAAGTTTCTCTTTTGCTCGACCGGGCATATTTCGATTGTAATGTCGTGTCGAATGAGTACACTCGATTCTATCTCACGCCTTGAGTAATCTACTCGTCCCCATCATCATCACCCGTTTTAACGCGAGCATCAATACCCCTCCTCACTCTATACCGCTCATTAACCACCTCGACAGACTCCTGCCTCTCCCTCTGCAGCAACGGCGTATAATTCCCCTTCGCCTTCCCGATATCCCCTCCATCAAACAACCGCGGTCCGCCCCTCGCTATCCCAATACTCTGCCGCTCAACCGGCACCTCAGCATCCAGCGTCGACTGCCCTAAGCCCGCAATCTTGTCCAGCAAAAGCGCCGAAAGCGTCTCATCGACTTTGTTCCCCCGCCACATCTCCCAGACATCATCGATGACACCGCCGCGACCCCATTTCCCACGACCGATCGTGCTAGGACCGCCGCCTTTGCCTGTTCCCCTGGCTTTGGGCTCGCTGCCGCCTTCGTCGCCGATGTATACCCATTCTAGGCGGTCTTCGTAGCCTCGTTCGCGTTCTTCCGAAGTTTGCACCTCCGACGCGTGCGGGAAGATGCAGTCCCAGAGGACGAGTGGGGCGTCGGATGCCATTTCGTACTTGGGCCGTGTGGGGTTGGCGGTGATGTCGAGGAGTTGGGGGACTAGCGAGGGCGATTCGAGACCTTGGCCGATGAGGAAGAGGATCGAGACTAGAGATCGGACTTGATGCCAGAGGAATGCGGAGCCATGGAGGGTGAAGGAGTACAGTTTTGGTTGCTCTCCATTCTTTGACAGAGATGGCGCGGAAAGAGCGGGATGTGAAAGGAAGCCTGGGAGAGATAGTGGAGAAACCTCCTCGATGTCAGCGTGGTAGATTCGTCGTTGGAAGTTTGTTAGCTGTTTGCTCGCGTCGATTTTGCAGAAGTTGCGGAAGTCGTGGAGGCCGATTAGCTCTTTGCATCCTTTTCGCATGGCGTCGATGTCGAGCCAGCCTTCGCGCATCGTTTCTTGGTCATCTGCCGTGGTGGCACCGTATGCGCTGGGTTTGTATAGACCGGAGGAGCCGGGTACGGGTGCGAAGCAAGGGTTGGTGAAGAAGTACTTGTACCGTCGTTCTTTACAGGAGAAGCGTGCACTGAAGTCTTCTGGTGGGTTGGGGCACCACGCATAAACGCGAATGTCGGGAGGAAGGACGCGATTCAAAAGTTGGATGTATGGTAGTTCGTCGGTGAGATCGTTGAACGGCTCTGATGGGATGGTCTGGGTATCGTTTGGCGAAGGCAATGATTCTTCGTTGTCCACTTCCTCCTCGCCTCCCATCTTTTCTACAGGTTTGGGCTTGTTGCTTCTAACCCTCACCCCAATGACCTGCCCAAAGGCACTGACACCCCGATCTGTCCGTCCGCACTTTGAGTATTCGCAGCCATCCCAGTTCACGTCCGCGCCTTCCCTGTCCCATTTTGCAAAGGTCTTTCTATCGATTCTTTCATATCTTCTCTCGTCACCTTCCGTAGGTATAGGACTTATCAACCGCGTCTTGATCAGCGCCTTCCAGACTTCTTCCTCAATTGTAGGTAATGGCGTGGTGTTGTTATTGTGATGCTCAAATCCATTGTACTTTTGCCCCAGATATGCAAATTTCAGTGCGATCAACCGCGTGCTGTATCTCGAGGCATCGAACGCCTTCGGTGGCGGCTTGTTGGCTCTGCGAAAGGCTAATGACTTTGGCGAGTCTGGAGGTGGTGATGTCTGTTCGTTCGTAGGCAGCGGGGACTCCTCTTCAGTCGCGCCTTGGGTACTCCCTCCAACCTGCTTCTCTAATTCTTGTATTCTCGCAATCAATTGCTGTTGCGACCAGTCTTCATACCCCGCCATGTTGCCTTTCTTCCCATACGCTTTCCGCACTTGTACGCGTCGCGGAACCCTCGAGAGCTTGTGGAAGTCGCGCCGTGAGCAGAATAATCGATGTAGCGACTGTTGGAACTCTGGAAAGGCGTGGGGTAGCGGCCGGCGCATTGTTTGGCGACATGGTGGATGACTCTCAGCATATTTTTGGTATGCAGCCTGACGTTCAGGGTCCAGCGCTTCTAGCCGAGGCAGGAAAGGTCAAGTAGATCGGGCCATCCATCTCACACCCAGAGACTACGCCCTCCAGCAACTCAGCATCACGAATTCACTCATGTCACCTTTTCAATAGCTTGAACACATGACATGGAGCAACAAACATCTCAAATTACTTCCGAAAACGATTCGAGAAAAAGATCAATGCTTAACTGTCACGACCTAGGACTTGACACACAACATGATCTTCAGATTTTAGGGCTATTCTATCTTACAAGATACCAATCGCGATATCTCCCCTAATCCTCGCGTAGACCTTGATATCCGCTTCTAGGTCTAACTTGATGTGCACCTTCAAGCTACCCTTCACATCAGATCCATTGTCGAGACCGAAACCCTCGGTGGTCTCTTCGTCGTCCCCTTCGTTGTCGCCATTGCCACCCTTCTTCTTCTTGTTCTTGTTCTTCGGTGCTACAGCGCTGGTGGCGCTGCCTAGTTTGCCAAGGGTGTCACCAGGTCCGCCGTCGCGGCCGCCGGTGGCATTGTTGGCGGTGTCGGTGAGGCTGTAGATATGTCAGAAATGGTACGACAGGAGGTATCGAAGACGCGACTGGCGTACTTCTTGGTTGCGTCCGCCATCTTGAATTCAGATTCTGGTGCGACTTCGGAGTCCGGTGTTTGCGGTGGTGTGAGTTGGGGGTGCGGTGGAGGTATAGTCAAATGAGGTATCTTCGCTTTCCTGCGATGCGGGAGTTGTGCTGACCACGCCAGAACTCAGAGTGTTGATAGGGAGGGTTTGAAGGAGTAGATTCCGATGGGTTATGAGAGCAAGCCTTGGTTGATAAACTTCTCGATCGGAGGTGCTGGACGGACATGTCCGAAGCTCCCGCATCTATCAGCCGCAGGTACATCATCGATCGACGGGTCGGCGAGGTGATCCTCACGAGCATGAGTGGTGAATTGGCTTCGACATGGCCTACGATTCGAGCTTGCTCACAGCTCTAATGCAGGAGGTGGGTAAAGCAACCGACTAATGCTGTAGCCTCGACTACGATTCCTCCATAAGGCTATGGTCTCTCGCCCAAAGCGGATTCACAACTCATGAGTTCCAAGGATCAGCCATATGAGGCTTGTTGTTCGTCATTGGCGCCGGCATTCACTATTGATCTGTCGATCATGTGGAACTAAGTGGAGCGGGTACCGGAAGTTAGCCGCGCACTACTGCTTGATTGGCTTTGTAGCTTTGCTCATGCAGCCACATCATGATCGCCTTGACTTTCGTCATGGGCTTTTACGCGAGATGCATGAAGTGCGATTGTGATCTATTGCTTTTTGTCGCGTCGTGATGTAGGGCTTCCGACGCAACACATGTCCACGGGTGCCACCTCACCAGTCAGCACATGTCACACTTTGTACCTAAACACGACCTTCGAAGTATTTCAACGTACCGTCTCTGCATCAATAGACTTTAAAAAATGGTGTTCGGCCTCCTGGCTCTCGTGGGAACGGTCCCTATGACCGCCACATCCGTTCTGACCCTGCAAAGTCAAACGGAAAACGCAAAGAAAGAGGCTGAGGAAGAGGACGACGACTGGAAAGGCGAGAAATGTCACATGCGATGTCGAGCGACCATGAGAACGCCGGAAGATCGCAAGGAGTTGTTCAAGAACAGTCGAATTGTACTATGCGGCGGCAGATTGTACGTCCAGCTATCAACATACGAAGGACCGACGCATCATCCTTTCACCGGGTATTACCTTCCTTTCCCAAAGAAAGATTACGAAGGCATCGTATCTACCATCTCAGATAACCCGCCGCAACTCAATTGGGTCTATCTGGATACCGAATCCGACATCTTTCAGTTCAGCCATGGACTACGCGTTGACGCGGAGGAGGGGCAGGCTGGGCCTTTCGACGCCCGCGTCGGCTCAAACGGAGAGAAGCGCTACACCTTCGAGAACTGGGAGGGCTTTATCGCCGTTGAGAGCGAAGGCGAGCCGGGTCTATGGAGACTCTGCTTCGACAAATACAACGATGGACTGAAGGGCAAAATCCAAGAGGGCCAAAGGACTGTCGAGGTAGAGCTGATACGGGAAGAGATGGAGGACTGATGGCTGATTGCCGTGTTGACGACTGTCCGCCTAATATCCCAATACGCGACAAACAACGTCTCAGAGTGTATTCCTTCATTTGGCGCGCTCGTAACGACCTCGTGGAACTCAACCGAAGACACAAGCAGTATAGTGGACCATGTCACGTAGTAGGAGGCGGTGTTTACTAGGAATCTGCGTCGTCATCTCCGGCCTCCGAGCAGACTGGCAGGTGCCAGACAGCTGCCATCTACTGGCCTGGAACATACTCCGAAACCAGGTTCGCGAAAACGCATCTTGTAAATAGCTACATTAGCTAGGTCAGGTTCAGGGCAAGCCTTGTTGGTGAATGCAGAGGATCGAATTGAAGAAGCGCATTGCGGCTGACGCGTGTCTCCCGGCGATCGCGAATCGAAGCCCGATGACGACACTAGCGCGACAACAAGCATCGCGACTTCCTGTCAGCCTTCCTACTTCCAACGTCTTTATTGTCTACTGCGTCCCCTCAGCGACTTGCAGCACTGCATCTCGTATCTCCAAACCAGCGAATCCACTCGTAGCGTCTCCGTCATTCTCCTCTTGACAACATGTGCGACTTCGTTCCTCTTCCTCTGTGCATCCAGTGCGGAACGTAGGTAATTCGCGAGCTGAACGTTCATGCCTTTGCTAACCACACGCCCACAAATAGCGATCAGAACCCATGTCATTGCAAGGTCATTGGGCCTACTATTGGCTTCGTAGTCACGGTCGGCATGGCTGTACGACTTCCCTAGATACCCCACATACGCGCAACAATCCGCTCATGTTTCCCAGATCTTCTGTTGGCCAGCATCGCTTCTCTGCTGCTGTTGCGCAACTGATGCCGGAAAGACGTAAGTTTCCTGGCCGCATTCTCGAACTTGATACTAATCGCAGCAGTGTACTGGCTTTACCTGTGGACACGGGCAATGCTATCAGCAATGCGATACCGATATGACGAACCTTGACTTATTCGACGAGACCTCCGCGACTTCCTATACGATCGACCCTTCTTGGCGCTTCATTTCGCACACACTATCAGATTTGGCTGAGCAAGGATTGGAGAACTGGTGAAGAGCTGGCGGCTTGAACATGATACCCACCAGCGACTGGACTTTTTACGCGTTATAATATATTCGTACACGAGTCCATGCTTTTTACGGTGAAGTTCACGATGAGAAAAATATATTCGTGAACTAGCATGTCAGGTCGTTTGTCTAGGTATGTGGGCTGACAAGGCGCGTTCACATCACGTGAGAACGCGTTTACGGTTTACGGTTTACGGTTTACAGGCTACCGTCTACAGGTTACTGTTACCAGATTACGGTTTACAGGTCGCAGATCACAGATTACAGTGCCCAGATTACTGTTAACAGACTACAGTGCCCAGATTACTACAACAAATCCCGGTAACACTTACTTGACAACATGTCACCTTTATGCTCCTGAATAGGACTGTTCGCTAAGACTCTTTCACTTACCAAAGCCTAATTGGGAAGCGAGCTAGAACCAGCGACTACGCACGGCTCCAACACTCAACTACTTCACCAACCTGCAGCGGCGCGCTCTCAAACCCATCCCCTCACCACTTGAGAGATACGCGTGCACGCGAGTATCAATTGGTCATGAAAGAATAGCGGATACGTGCGCCGGTCTCAATTACCAAGAATCGCCGCCTTTGGATGCGCGAAAGAGCAAAACGCTACAGGCCAACAAAAGACTGTTTGCACGGTTGCCTTTTTTGGATCAGTTTGCTTAGACAACAGATATGCGTATCTACTCCCCCACCCACGAAATGGATTTCGAATACGATCCGGACGGACCTTCCGCGCGCTTTGACGACCCGAATCTGCCCTCTTGTACCGCCTATGGTCCCGACTTATTTGGAGAGTTGGTTGGTTACGAGATGTTGGAGGCTGAGGTGGTAGCTCCTTGGTCCTTAGGAGAGCTAGGTTACACGAACGAAGCGCAACACGTGCACACGGACGGTCGCATCGAAAGCCAGCAACACCTACCGGATTACTACGCGTACAGCCCGCATACGAATACTTGGGAAGACGGTCTGCAGGATATTGAGAGTTTCGATTGGGCGAGCGATAAAGACAACGAGGTGAACGCTAGTGAGCTGTCAAACAAGAATCAGGGCGAGGAAGAGGTTGAAGCTACCAGTGTCGCCGATACTCGATGCTTGGATGACCAAGGTCAGAATGCTGGTCCCATCGATCGCGAAGCCCCAAATCTCTCTGAAAAGGTAGATTCGCCGACCACTCAACCCGAAACTCCTGTCAAAAAGCCGAGCAAAGCCCCACTGTCTGATGGAACCGCAATCGTTCCCACAGAATCCAACACGAGCGCGGAACACACACATCCTACGTCGCCAGCCTCCAAGCTTGGCCCGGAACGCGAAAAGACGGCTTCGCATACGAACATACTTCCACATATTACCGAGAAAGTGGAATCTGGCCTGCCAGCGATCGATGAGAAGCATGTCGAAGCCCCAGATCTCATGGATATCGATGACCTCACCATCGTTGCTGAAACCGAGCGCTTGAACATCGGCCCTCAGATGCAAGATAACGTGGCTGCCGAAGAGGGACCTGTTGAAACTTACCCTATACCAGTCCTCCATGATGCTGAAGGTAACATGCTTTCCGAGTTGCAATCTTGTTCTGGCTCAGAAGATGACAAGGCTGCGGAGGCATCAACGATCACCCTTGCACCGGCTTCTTCAAGACATGATAGCCTCATGGTGCACAAGTCAAATCTGGAAAACTCTTCACAGGACGACACAGCTTCCCAAAAGCCACGGACAGGCGTGTCGATGCAGCCAAAATTGCATGTAACCTCAGATGAAGTACAACAAACGCCGCATAATCCTGGTAGTGAATACGATGAAGAAGCTATTCAGAGTGCTTTGGAAGCATTAAGCCAAATCCGGACGCAGAAAGATCGTTTGGATAATGAAGAGCAGGTCGATGACGGCTCCGCGATGCAAATTGAACCTGCTACCGAACCTCTGCGATTGCCGCTAGAAGAGCTTCCTGAAGTGCGAGACTCTCCGGCACACTTGAAAGCCGATGAGGCGCCGGAATTCAGGTCTGAACTCACAACTTCCGCCCTACCAGATTCTTCCATGATCATTGAGGGTGACTCGCTAAGCCCAAAATCGCCTGAGGCACTCTCGCGTGTCCAAGAGGATGTCGAAGGGCCATGGCAAGCGCAGTTGCGGGATGCGGCGGCCGACTCACTGCCTAGCGTTCTCTCCGAACCTTTGCCCTCAAAAAATCGTGATCATAGCGAACCATCGATTAGCAAATCTCCGGAGATCGCAGCTGGAGAGGCATCGGTACAAGCAGGTCCATCACTCGCGGGTCTGACGTCGGAGCTGCAGTTGGAAAACAATGTGGCCTTACCGCCCCTACCGTTCCTATCTGAAGACAAAGTATGTCATGAGAAATCTCAGATCTCGCCTGCTGAAGTGCCCGCGGATGAAGAGAACGCAAGTGCGGCGAAATTAGCTCATAGGCTTTCCAAGCCTCCAACCCCATCCGACGTAGAGCCGAATACTGCGGTTGACGACAACACCACTGAACCCGGCGTCGATGACAGTACCAGTGTGGTAGCGATTCCCGAAGAAGATCGGATGGAAGATGCATCGTTTGTCCACAACTTGGATACTACTCAAGACCTTGGTTCTACAACGGCAGTAGCTGAACCAGAATCTCAGCCTGTTCACCCGCATAAGCGATCGAAAGCGTCCAAGAACACAGCGAGCGTTTCCGAAAGCGATTCAGACGGCCCCCTCAAGAAAAAGCGAAAGGCTAATGTCGCTTCCCTTGCTAAGGCACGTGCTATCAAAGCTGCAAACAGGAAGCCTAGCAAAGCTCTCAAAGACCAGGAAGACGAATCTACGCCACCGCCAGCTAAGGGCAGACGTGCTGCGGCCAAGTCGAAGAAAGAGGCTACTCATGTGGATATTACCAACAAAGAACCGACTCTATCAGCCAAGCATGGAGGCGCATTGGAACATACCGGATCATCTGCAAAAGCACCCATCGTAGTTGAATCGGATGATGCCATCATCAGTGCTCAATCTGACCAGGGAGGCGACAGTGCCGACATGGACGAGCACTACAGCGACGTCGAGAAGCCGGTCACACCTAGCAAGCAAACACCCGCCGCGGAGATCGTTCTAGGTACACCGATGACGAGACCCTCAGTCTCGAAACGTGAACTTCGGGACCTTACTTCGACCTCGTATAGACAGCATCCATCAAAGGCAAAGCCTATATCGCGTAAGCTGTTTCCACCGCAAAAGCCCGAGGCTCTAGGCGAACTCATGTCAAGCATGCCAGCTTCTGCAGACTCGCCAACTGTTCCAGTCAGTGACGCTGACTCTGTTGATCTCTTTGGAGACTTGGGCGTCCCTGATACCACTACCAAGGCACCCAGACGTCCTGCACCAAAGCCTAAGGCTACTCTAGCGAAAGCTGCGAGAGCGAAGAACGGTCCAGCAGCTCCAGGGCAGACGAAGAAAATCCCCGCTATTCGTGCTACCAGAAGACGCAATGCTTCGCCCAAAAAGGAGGGAAAGACCAAGTCTAAGGATGAGGAGGGGTGCGTCCAATTCACGGAGCTAAAGATCGATACTGAAGAAGCTAGCCCAGAGATGGACGTGCCCTCTCCCCCAAAGCCCCTCAGAAGGACCACCAAGCAGAGCATTTTGGACGAGTCTGAAGCCGACGATGATATACACGAGAACAACGGCAATCCTGAAAACGAAGTTGAAGACGACGATGATGATTTCGAAGACGCGCAAGAAACCATCGAGGCATCTAGCGACGACGATGACTCACAGGACGGCACTCCCCCACCGTCCAAGAAGCCAAAGCTCAAGAACAAGCCCCTAATGCTCGGTGGCCACACCATCCGCCAAACCAGGTCTCGTGCCACCGCCACCCCAGCTCGCAGCATCGCTCCCAAAGCAGCAACACACGCCAAGAACAAGTTTGGATTTACACCTCCCCTAACACGACAGGCGAAGAAAGCTGCCAACGTCCCTACCGCACCAGCCCCAGCACCAGCTAAACCTGCCCCGAAGGCTAAAGCGCCGGCAAAGTCCAAAGCGGCCACCGCGCAGGCTAAGCAGCCTTCTGTACGCAAGACGCGCCAAGCGTCTGCGATGGAAGAGGAGGATAAAGTCAAGTCCAAGAGGAAGCTCAGGAGCGACGGTTGATTGGCTCGGGCTCAGGTTGTGTGTACTGGAGGACTTCGGAGGATTTGAGAGGATGGGTAGCTTCTGGGTATTTGAATGATGAGATGCTCATTTTGCCATTGGCTTGAGATGAGTAAGGGGTGGATTGGATAGTGTACAGCGCTCTCGCATGTACGTAGAAGAAACAAAAAGGCTACCTTGGCATTCGAGCTGACAAGACGTGAAAAACCATGAATGCGGCAAAGTTTATCAGGATACAATCTTGGAACCACCTCATTCAAGGGAAAGGCTGTACACCTTGGATCACCACCCTTTGCGTATCGCTTTCTTGATATAGGCTGCAGAAATGTCAAAATTTTCCATCGATGAGGTGGAACCGTGTCTATATGTATTACTATATTACTAACCAAGTCAAACGAAACAATATACAGAACAGCCCACTTCTACACGGATGTAATGGTAAAGGAAAGGAAACACAGCAACAAAAGGAGAAATGTACCAACGACGAGAGAAAGACTTGTATATGCAATAGCGAAGTGCCAATGCGCGACGCGGAAAACGCCAGTGTAATGCTTTCTTTCCCACCCCTATCCCCTCCAACAATGCACCCACAATGACAGAAAACTCGACAAATGGAACGACAACGAGAGAGACGCGACAAAAGTGGGGGGCCATGATCCTAAACTCCAATATGCAAGCTCTACGACTCGCCATGGTATATCACGGCATTCATGCCGCTCCTGCGCAAGCCCTACAGCGAATGCGTCTGGAGATTAATTACTGCAGGAACTGTTAGTACGAGATGATGCAAAAGTAGAGAAAGAGAGTCGACTTACTAAATCTCCAACGGCGCAATCTGATCAACATTATACAACCACCCGCCACCTCTCTCTTCACTCTCCAACCAATCATATGGCCAAAGCACGATATGGCCCTGAACCAGTTCCAGAAGCCGTTTGGCGTCTTCCTTATCAAGCATGATATCCGCGTCTGTAGCGTTGAACTGCCTGTTCGATGACTTCGTTGTAGCGCGGCGACGGGAACGCTTCGTGTTTGAACGGTTGGGCGTGTTATTCGAGTTCTGGTTCTGGGGCAGCGCGTTGGGGTGGATGGGCGGTTCAGAGATGGTAACGCGTTGGGAGCGTTCGCGGTTGGAGTGAGAGGTTGGAGGTGGGTTTTGCGAGTGCGATGCGAAGTCGGTGTGTGCGCTCTCGTTGGGGACGGGCGGTGGTGCGGGGAAGGTGAAGGTCTTCTCTGGGGGAGCGGGGTTCATGGGGGAAACTACGGCGTCGTCAGCGGGCTCGGGGGCTAGCTTCTCATTGAGTGTTGTGCCGGATGCAGTGTCGAGGTGTAGACCGCGTGTGGCGGGGGGAGGCGGGCTTTGGGATTGTACGCGCTTCTCTTGGTCATCGGCCCATTGCTCTACACCGCCCATGCTCGAGTGGTGGGTTGTTCCATGGACGTTCTCGCCGTTGACTCTGTCTGAGTTGTTCGTCATCTTCTCGGTGAGCTTCTCGCCTAGAGCGCCAACCTGCTTGCCGACAGTACCAGCAGTCGAGGTGAACTTGCTCGTGAGACCAGTGCCGGGCGGTCCAGTCGTACCCGGGGCATCCTGCTGCTTGTGCATTTGGCTCTTGTCTCCACCCTGAGATTTGGTGAAACGTTCCGAGAATGCAGCGTACTCCTGGTACTCCTTCCATGTTCGGACTTCGTTGTCTGGCATGCAGCGGAAGACCTGGCGGAAGAGCTTGGTGTTGTTCTCTGCAATTTGATGCCAAGTGTCAAGGAAGAAGGTGTCGTTGATAGGATCGCGCATGCAGTCCTCGGTCACAACAGGTCGACGCATTTCTGAGAGAAGAGGGTTGATGACGGAAGAGGAACCCTGGCTAAAGGTACGTTGTAGAGCAGGCGGGCCGCCGATGTCTGTGTCATCCGAAATTGGCAACGCAGGCAACTGGCTGAGCTGTGTCAAACCTAGCTTGAACGTGTCCATGCGAGGTAGCTTAGGAGGTGGGAGGCCAGCATAGCCAGTTCCGTCAGTCTGTGCGCTGACGTTGCTGGCCCTGGTGCCTGTGGTACCACTGCGCTTGCGCGTCTTGAGTGTCGCACTCTTCCTGGGTATAGCTGCAGCACCTTCAGCAGCGACATCCGTAACAAGTTTCTCATGACCATGCTCGTCGATGTAGGAATCTCTGGCTTGCGTTATGATCGGTCGCAACTGCTCGGCTTCCAGCATATGATCAGCGCCCTCGCCACGAACGTCTTTGGTATGCGCCGTGTTGTGTTGCACACGAGAATCCGCCGATGGCTTCTTGGTACTTTGCAGATGAGGGTTTTGGTCCTGCGCCCAGTCGAAGTCATGGTTGAAGCTGTGTAGCTTTTCTGCCTTCTGGATGAGCTCATCCTGCATCTTGTAGTTGTTCTCTTCCAGCTTCTGTTCAGTCGCGCGCTGAGCCGTTGGGGATCCTGGACCAGAGGACTCTGTCTGGAAACCGACGCTATCGGCATCATCAGACATCTGGCTGAGCATCTCCTCCTCAGAGATGCAGTCAACATCGACACCCAAATGTTCCCGCATGAGACGCATACGCAACGTGTGCGGGAACTTGCCCACCTTGTATGGCTGGCCACCCATATACGAATCAAGTAGCTCAGTATCGCGGATGACGGCAGCGATTTCAGAGTCTCGTGACCCCAACATAGAACGCTCGTTGATGTTTGCGGACCCGATGATGGCAACTCGGTCATCGACTACCATGATCTTCGCATGGATGTACAACTGCTCTGTGACCAGCATCTTGTTCGGGCCAACCTCGCCCCACGATCGGAGTGCGTAGAAATTGATGTAATCCTCGGGCTCGATGCCGGCAGCTCGCAAGCGTCCAAAAATGGAGCCTTCACCACGGCAGATGCTGTGGTATTGACACGTCATAATGAGACGAACACTGCTGCCTTCTTGTTCGTCGACAGTGTTTTGATATCCAGGCATCAGCGGAAGCATGATGCATGCTCTCCAGTCTTCGTCGTTGGCGTGGGCACGCTTGATACGGTCGACGATCGCATCGTTGATCTTGTTCTCAATCTTCGTTCCCAGCACTTCGCCGCTACTGATGTAGAACTGGTTCTCGATGTACACGAAGTGCTCGGATGTGGCAATCATCTGCACGTACGCGTTCATGATACTGTGCTCGACCTTGTTAGGTGTACCCAGAGACCAGGCACAGGCGGAACGTAGAATCTGTACTTCGCAAGTTCCATCAAGCCCAAGAGCTTCTATATCGGCGGGGTTGAAGTCAGGCGGAGGAAGGAGGAAGGGTGTCGGCCGCGAAGGCTTGCGCTGGCGGAGAAGGTAGTTCCATCGCTGTACGAAATGACGGGTCAAGTCACGAGCGGGTTGACCTACGATCTGCATTCCGACGTCGTGCCACGGCATCCTTGGGACTCTCGATCGGTCGTACATCTCCTCGTAGGGTTTGTCGAGAGCGAAGAAGTCTTGCACACGGGGATTGGAGTAGTCCTTACCTGGCCACAGCTGACAGTGGTCGGCGTCCTTGGGCGTATCATCGAGCTCGAAGCCTGTCGGTTTGTCGTCAACGACAACGTGTTGTGGTGTATCCCAACGACCAAAGCACAGGTCAACGCCTCCACAGAAGGCTACAGTGTGATCGATTACGCAAATCTTCTCGTGATGAGACCAGAAGAATGTGTTCTGGCGGATTTGGTTTGGCGATCGTTGGACGAAGATGTTTGGATGCAGATCTAGCAAAGAGAACTTGGAGTACTCAGAGTCGATAGGAATAGCAGCACCGATGTTGCGATACATAATCACAAAGATCTTGACACCTTCCTGTGCTTTGCGTTGGAGGAGTCTGTCAAGTCTCCACTTCTGACTGATGGCAGCTGGGCGACGCAAGTAAAGCTCTGGGCTGAGCCACCAGTCGTGGATGTAGATGACGTCGCGCGCCATGCTGATAGCTCGTGACACGTTCCACATGTAGTCGCGACCGTCTACAAGCCATTGAGCGTAGATCTTCTTGCGCACTGGAGCGAAACTGTCGAACCGCTGGCGTTGTGACCATAATGTGTTTTGTGACATGAAGTTGATGGACTCCTCGAACTGATGCAGCATCCGCTCATTACGAGCAAGTAGCTTCATCTTGCGTTCTGCGTTAACGAGCTTGAGCTGATGATGACCTGTCGCAGACGCTTTTGCTTCGCTTGCTAGATCTCTAGCCTTCTTATCTCGTATCCTGGCAGATTTGGTATCGAGATGGAAGTCGGCATCGACCAAGAAGACATCGTAGACATTCATCTCCTCCGGCGAATCTACACAAACGACATAGCTGTGTCTTACTAGGAACCACTTGGGCCAGTGGCGGTTCATCATGGCGAGTTTGGTCCAGCCTTTCCTGTTGTCAACGCCTTTGGAGGATTTGATCATCATGTAGCCTTCCTTGCCATGGTAGCCGCCCTCAGCCGCTAGGCGGACACCCAGAGCAGACAGCTCGAGGAACTTGCACAGGCGGTTGCTGTCAGGACGGAAGATGAGGTAGGTCATGAGACCTCGCAGATATTGTTCCAACTTCTTCCGTTGGCGTTCATGATGGTTCTGTTTCGCCTGTAGGGGCTGACCGGCGGCGCCAGCAAAACTGCCCTGTCTCGCTACGAGGGCACCGACAGCACCTTGAGCTTGAGAACCACTTACGCTTGACTGTCTGCGACCTAAGAATGATGACTTGCCTCGCTTGGGTCTGTTGGGGCGTTCGGTAGCGCTTGCATCGCCGTCTGGTCCGCTGGCTCCTGCTGCAGCTTCTTCCTCCTCTTCCTCACCTTCGTCATCAAGGATGCCGTAACCTCGAAGACCTCGGAGATAGGGCAATACACTTCTGGGGAAGCGTGGAAGTTTTGTGCGTGGATCTTCTTTCTCTTCTTCCTTCTCGGCCTCGCCGTCTTTGGATGTCTTGTCCTTCAATTCTCGCATACGGTTAGCCGGGCGACTGCGGAAAGCGTCTTGCTTCTCCTGAACTTTGAACTTGAGATGCAGATTGGCAAAATCGGCGACACTTCTGTAGACAACCCACTTCATCCTGGTCAGACCACTGCCGTATTCCAGCTCTATGCGCAAAGCAGTATGCCGATCGCCCTCCTTCTTTGCGGGGCGGTCTGTATCGGTGATGGTAACCTTGAGCTGCTCGAGAAGGACGGGGATACGCCTGTGGCCGTGCTCATCGCGTTGGAACATACTGGCAAAGAACAAGGCTGCGGGTGCACCAGCAAGCAGTTCAGCCATCAGCTCGGCCGACTTTGCGTGGTCGATTTGGCGTTCGGCCTTTTGTCGGTTGCCGAGCAGCTTGAGGCTGTTCTTGATGGACTTCCACTTCTGCGCACTCAAACTTGAGGTCCGCTCGCTACGCATCCGCCATGGTGAGGGCTGTGTGTCTCCCGCCGCACCCCTGAAGGTAGTCAAGCTTCGCAAGTTGCCGGTAGGACGATTCTGGTGACCCTCTTCCTCGCCGTTGGGGTCGTGTCTTCGCAAACCTCCGTACGAAAGTCCCCTCGCACTGTGTAGTCCGCGTGTCCATGCGCTCTCTTTTGCGATGCGCGAGCGACCCTCGTCTTCTGAGTAACCCTGACGCTCGTTCTCGGGTATGTCATCCATGGTGGAACGGCGTAGGAAGCCCGGGCGTGTCGAGGTAGGCGTCATGGTGGGTGAGTCACGCGAAAAGAAGCCGCCTGTTGTCTGCTTGGGCGTGGTAGGGGCCGTTTGGGTGCCTTCGCCCTCGCCATCGAACCAACGGCGGCTGCTCTTCCGCCTCTTTTGTCTCGGTCTTCTCGAAGCACCCTCGCCAGCGCTAGACTCGCCGTCAGCATCGGCCTCGCTGTCGTGTCCCTCGAATCGCGGCTCGTCGTGCTCGGATGTAGGCGAAAGCTGGCCATGGGGTGAGCCTTCATGGCCTGAGCTTCCTCCCAATGCACTCAGACTCCTGCCGTGTCCTTGCATGGGCGCTGCCAGTGCCCTCAGCTTGCCCATGAGCGACGAGCTCTGTCCACTCCGCTCCTTGCCCTTTCCTTCGCCGTCTTCGACCTCCCATGACTGCTGGCGCGAGTTGGCGGCGGGCGGATCGGATGTGAATGTGGCGGAGCGAGCGAACTGGACGCTCTTGCGCTCTCGGGGTGCGTCGGAGAGTTCACCCTCGGTAGGGTGTCGGGACATGGGCGCGAAGGGCGGGTAGTAGGAGCTGGTGGACCCATTGGACATGTGCGAGGAAGGCTTCGGGGCGCGGAGAGGGGCTTCAGCAGCTTCGACGGGCACGGGGATGCTACCCCCGTTGGCGTTCGCTGGGACATGGAAAGGGAATTCGCCGGCTTCCTTGCTGGAGATGGGCGAGCCGGTCGGGGCAGAGCGCATGATCTTGGGGGCGCCGTCCGAGGGCGAGGGGTTGTGTATGTCTTGCGTCTCATTCCTGGGCTGTCCCAGGCTAAGCGGCGATAGCAGTCGGCCGGACTCGTCTGTCCTTCCTGATACTGCAGGCGATCGCGAGCGAGGGCTGCGCGTCGTGGGCGAGCCCCCGGTCTTGCTGGAGCCAACCATGGTGACAGCACGGAAGAGGCAGAAAGTGTCGGTGGGTGTCTTCTCACGGCGAGGTCGCGTGGGGTGTGGTTGCTGGGCTTCTAGGGCGTTATACAGCCATGGTAGCCAGGAAACGTGCTGCTGCCGTCACTCGTCACGATGGATTGATGGAATGCTGCCCCAGGTCGAGTTTGAGTATACTCGCAGTGACAGGTCTATGTCACGGATAGGCGAGAGAAAGAGACACGCGGCGCAGGTGATCAGTGTACGTCGTGCTGGGTCCCTGCGCGGTTCGAGTAATCTGTAATCTCCCAGGTGCTTTCCCCGGGCGTGAACTGTCTGGTTGCGCTAATACTTCCAAGGTTTTGGCGTCAGGGGCCCTCTCCGCCTGGCTGACCGCCTGCAGCGCGTCGATGCTCCACACCACAGATATGTACGATGCAGCGCCCTGCAGAACGCGTCAAATATCGCCTTCGTCGCGTTCGTGACATCGCTTTCACATGCAACGCCCGCTTCTCTGTGAAAGAGACTCGATGATGTCGCCGCTGTCTCTCTGCGGCGTGGCTGCACCCCGCACTGTACTCCCAATCATCACAAGCATACCGAACTCACCACACGCGTGCACAATGGAAAGACCCCTTGTACCGCTGTATAATCGCGCCATGCATCCATATGCCATGGCCAGCACATCGCCCAGTGCCGCCTGTGAAGCTTGTCACACGATGATGTAGTTCTGCCGTCGACGGCAGCCTCGGTCGGCGATCCCCTGCCCCTCCGCATGCCCATGTTCCAAGATACACCAGACGAATAGCTCCATATTCTTTTCTCTAGACCTGCTAATCGCCCAACCCTATATCGCTATCCTCACTATTCTTAGGCCCCATCAGCCAACATGGCAGCAACCACAAACCCCCTCCACGGGACGCAGAACTCGTCCGACCTCCCCGTCTCCTCCCGCACCATCACAATCGCCGGCATCCTGGTCGACGTCCATGGCCTCGACCAACTCCCTCCTTCCCCATCGTCAGTCGCCTGCCTATGGCTTCTCAACCCGCGATTGCAGACCAAAGAGACCATGGCTCCCATAGCCAGACGCGTCATCTCGACCTGGAACCAGCGCATACAAGACGGCCGGGCCGGCAAGAACCCCAAGGGTTTAATCGCTGCTGCGTTCGATCAACGTAATCATGGATCGCGCAAGGTGGACGATTTGCACAATCAAGCCTGGAGGGAAGGAAACGAGACGCATGCCCAAGACATGTTTGGATGCTTCCACGGCACCGCGACCGACACCTCTCAGCTCATCAACCATCTCGAATCCTACATCTTCACCGCCAAGGATAGTCCCAAGATCGAACAACACTTTGCCCTTGGAATCTCGTTGGGCGGACACGCGACATGGCATTGCTTGCTAGGTGACCCCCGCATCACCGCTGGCGTAGTCGGTATCGGTTGTCCAGACTATACGCGCTTGCTGACTGACCGCGCCCGCCTATCCAAGCGAAAGACATACACGGAGACGACACCACCTGGAAGCGCATTCCTCGGATCCCCCGACTTCCCACAAGCGCTGCAGGACGCCATCGCCCAGTATGATCCTGCCGGTCTACTGCTACCGGGCATGTTCAATCCTCTAGGAAACGACACATTACCCGATCAAGAGCAGCTATCTAGGATGAAGGCGCTGATGAAGGAGAGACTTCAAGGCAAGCGCATTCTGAACCTCAGTGGACAGGCAGATAAGCTTGTTCCCTACTCGGCTGGTGAGCCGTTCTACAAGATCTTCAAACAGGTACTAGCAGAAGACCCAAGTCTTGACATCACCTTCGACGACGTGTTGTTCGAGGGCGTAGAACACGCTTTTCCTAAACCTATGGCAGACAAAGCAGCGGACTGGCTGTGTGACATTTTGGCCACGGACGATGGACCAATGTCAAGTAAAATATAGTGAAGCGCATACCAACAGCCATCGCACATAATTGAATACTCAAACAGCACCATCATAGTATCGCCTCTTTCTTTCGCTTTGCTCGTCACTCGTTCACCCTCTAATTCTGTTTCTTGCTACTGCCAGAAGTATAAAACATCTTGCTTCCATGTCTGCCCCCTCTCGACGCACCATGCGCAATCTGCGAAATCGCTTAGCCCCAGAACACAGAATCCCACGCTACCACGCCTTCTCCACTCCCGAAGAGCAAGCAGCATACTTCGATGACACAGCCCCCTCCCCCGCCATCCTCCCTTACGCCGTGAACAGCTCGCCCACGTTGACTGAGATATCTCTAGCCCGGGAAATTATCATCAGGCCCTTGGAAGAAGACGGCGATGTTTACGACCAAGAAACTTCAAGCAACCAGCAGAAAACGGAGGAGGAACACATTCTTGAGCGCATTGGCAGATTAATCGCTATGCTTACACTGTACAACTTAGCCAGGTCGTGTGAAGATATTGAAGAGGAAGATTGGGAAGAGTACATCACACCCTACGAAGAAGGGGATCTGGAGATGCTGGAGCGTGTCTGTCCAAAGCAATGGTGGAATGAGGAGATCAGAGATGCATGGCCGAATCTGATCGTATTTGCGCGACGGGCAGGGAGATTCGCCAATTAAAAATGATACGCAAGGTACATAGTCCACTCACACCAAAGTAAACCTCTCCACCAAACCCCCATCAACCATCCACTCACACACCCCCAAATCCTTCGCCGCAAAAGGAACTTTACCCAACCTCTCATACACGTTGCCCTCCCTCCCCTCCACCTTCGCCACAATAATCGCATGATAACTTGCATCTCTCTCCATCTCCGCAGGCCTTACATGCCTCCACAGTATCGCAGCCCACAACTCCCTTCCCCTCGCCCTTTCCGTATGAGTCTGCGTATCGAAACAAGTATACGTAGGTTCCATATCCCCCTCCAACTTCTCCTTCGTCTGAGCCACAGCACCCTTCTGCCGATTCGGAAAAACATCGCCTTCTCCTTCCCTCTGTTCAGCCGCAGGGTACAAGCGTTCCAGCGGCGCGCTGATGTCTATATACCCGTCTGTTACCTCGCCGAAAGGATTTTGGGCGCTCTTCAATGTAACACTCGTAGCGTGGATCTTGGCTAAAGCCGTCCATTCCCCCTTGTCCCATCCTATGCCAGAGTTCGGGCTGAAGAGGCCGAACGGCCCGTCGATGGCGGCCCAGGACCAGCTTGGTGCGCGGTATACTGCTGGTGCGGTTGTCGTGCCGACGGCTTGCCAGATGAGATCGTGAAGGAGGGTTGGGGACCAGTGTCCCGCGAGGTAGGTGGTCGGAGAAGGCAGCAGGGAAGCGTAAGTGCGTGCGAGGCCGGAGAGGGCGGTTAGTTTATCCGAAGGTTTGGTTAGAGAACGGCGGGAGTAGGCGTCGAGGACTGCATGCCATTGATGCGTGGGGTTGTCTGGGATAGGTTTATCCGCAGAGGAAGGGTGGGTGTGGGATGGGAATGTATGGGATGTAGTTGGGAAAAGAGTATCGAATCGCCCGGGCAGGTAGAAACCGTGCTCGCTGAGGAAAGAACAGTAGCACTCGAAGAACATCTGCTCCGTGCCGAAATGTAGTACTCGCGGTGCGAGCCAGCGTTCTTGTAACGCCCAGCCGCGTTGGCTGAGTGGTTCCGTCTTTAGCATTGCGTTGTTTCCGGCCCAGGAGGGCTTTGCGGCTGTTTCGCGAGAAGAGGAGAAGGCGTGCAGAGTTCCTTTGATACCGTCTGTGGTTGTGTATTCGAAAGGGGAGTATATGGGTGCTGGACGGTTGGGAGAGAATATGGATAACCCGGACGTGGAGGAGGGAGAACCGGTTGCAGAGAGCATGATGTAGGCGTTTGAGTAGACGGAGGCCATGCGCGATGTTTCGCGCGACCAGTCTTCTGAGTCGTCTTGGCAGATACTGGGGTTGTCAGTGTTTAGTGTTCTGAGTAGGATATGGGGGGTTGACTTACCAGAGGGAGTCGATCCATAGATATCCGATTCCCATTTCTCTGGCTATGAGGATGGCGTCCTGAAACGTCTTTGGGAGCTGGTCGGTATCGATACCCCTCTTGTTGGCTTCGATATTGGCACGTGTGGTTGCGAACGGGCTTGACTTGCCCCAGACATAACTCAGTGCTGCATACCGTCCTAGTTCTCCTTCCATGGGCTCATAAAGCGCTACTCTGTGCGGCGTCGAGTCTCGTATATCCAAGACACGAGCTGGAAGAGGTGCCATATCGACATGACAGCGCCGATCCGTCCGTTGTTTGTCGCAATCGCGTACCCAGTTTAGGGCATGTGCAAGTGTATGCGGCGACGAGGAGAGCGTCTTGCGACCTCGAACGACAGCGGCTAACGGATCGCCGTCTACAACGCTGTTAGTCGAAGCAACAGCTTCACCAAATCTCTTAGATACTTACAATCAGCACACAACCCCACAGCAGCAACCACCCAAACCTGACACCAATACTTTGTATCGACCGACACCACCATGAAACCTCCGGTATCATTCACACCCCTAACCAGACACATCTTCCAATCCGGTCCTCCGCCACGCTCGGCACGAATTCCAGGTTCTTTCTTCGCCCCACTGAACTCGGATTGAAACTGCGCGACATCGCGCTGTACAGTCTTGCAGATTGCGCAGTCATCGGCAGCGGCGTTTTCGAGGTCTTCGATGGATTGGTGGAAGGGTATGCCGATGGGTTCTTGATCTTTTGGACAGTCTTGCTTGTTCTTCCAGAGGTCCCTGAGAGGTTGGCTACTGATTTGGACTAGACACGGGTAGTCGCGTCGAGTGACAGTATGGATTCTGTAATCGGGTGGCAGCTTAGGGATGTCGAGGACGTCGACCGACTGGCAAAGATCGCATAATGGCATGTTTACTTCTTTTTGATTTACTGCAAATATCTCATGTATAGCCGTGATGAAAAGGCGAGCTGCACATCAGGCCCTTCGATAGATTTAGGTATTGTTGTTCTCTGTCGGCATCATCGCCAGGCAGCCGTGGTGGCGAATGTATATTGCCAGACCTCTGCACGTGTTGGATTACCCCTGCACAGCACCTTGTAAAGCATCTTGCACAGCAATGCGATTGGAGGCGAGTTACCTGGTTTGCCTTGGTAAGATAATTTGATAGGTGCTGTTCGAGGCGTGGCTATGCCGGCACGAATGTTGTGTGCTGAGCGGGGGAAGGATCAGCCAATTGGCATGGCTCGCCCTACGTAAATAATTTCCTTCAGGCTTGTTCCTTCCATTTTTGCCAGCGCCTTGCTCTGGTCATAAGATGCTACTTCTGACGTATGACTGCATTGGTTCGGTACGCAAGCAATTCAGCGCAAATTCCCGTAGCCATGGACATGCCTCACAACTGGGAAAGCATTGCCCTTTTCATCTATAGCGAATGCCCACCGTACATCTTGCCTTCAACGACTGCTCCCACATCTTCTGCCGAGAAAGCGCAATGGCCCAGTCCATCAGTACCAGTACTGACAACGCCCCACTGCAGTTTCTTCTCGGCAATGTTCTCACCACTGCCAACCTGTTCTGTCGGGTGACACGCTGCGCTGATGGCCATACTGCAGCTGCCCACAATTGGCATTCCACGCTTGTATGGTGTGTACCCGAAAGCAACTATGCTGATGACCATTAGTCCACTCAACACTATCACTGATATGATGGCCGGCGGCGAGTAGCCCAGAGTCTTGTAATCGAAAAGCATGTCCGCTGCATTATCCTCAACGCCCGGTTTCCCAAATGGGTCGTAAAAGTCGATGGCGATCAGGAAGATGCTTTGCGAAACCAGCCAGTGTAATGTGCCACTCAGCACCATGAGAGGTATACCGAAGCGATAGGGTAGCTGGAGGAAGTATGTCGACCGTTGAGCACCGGCAGGTTGATGAGTTACGCGAAGGCCTTTACGCTTGCTTGAATAAGACACCCATTCGTAGCCCATCAGCATGGCGGTAAAGAGAGCATTATAGCTGAAGTACAGAAACGAGAGAGCTAGTTGGGGCGTGTTGGCGATGACAACGTTGGTAATCAAATCCGGTGGCATATAACTGATGGCTGTACGAGGATCCACAGCGCCTAAAGGCAATCAGCACCGTGCTTAATTTCACATGACAAACAAATCATACATACCAAATGAAAATTGATCAAAGGTAGCCCCCGTGGGTAGATGTTCGATTCCCATCTTAAGTAGGAAACCGACTATAGCTAGGGCAAGTAAAAACCTGATCGGTAATGTAAGCAAACTACCAACGATATATTTGGTTTAGCGGCGTAACCTACACAGCTACAACAACAATTCTGCGGGTGATGCTGGTCACATCTTTCCAGTGATAACGCCCGTCCCGCCATTGTCTTGGTCCCGCCTGATATCCTCTGTGGTGTCGAAAGTCTGCTAGTGTAGACAAACACATGTCCTTCGTTGTAACGTCTTCGTTTTCCAGAAACGAGACGACGGCGTCACCCGTTGTCATAAGCGGCTCGTCGTGCACAAAAAATACAACATAGAACATTAGACATGCTTTGACTGTAGAAGAGTTAGAGTTGATTCGATCTCGAACGGTTGATCGACGAGCGTGTCCCTTACGCTGCTGCGTCTGTATAGGCGTAGAGAACGAGATCTGAACTCACAGAGATTGAGAATCGTAATGACAGTCGTAATAGTAGGCTCGAAGTGGAGCTTGCAGTGGGTTTGAGCCGGCTCACTTAGACAGTACTCCACTGGCGTACGTGACAGGTCGCAAAGCCCTTCATCGTCGCAAAGCCATCCAACCTGCCAAGATTCTTGCTTCTTGACATCCTGTACCCTGACTGAACATGGATTGAGTAGGTCGTGCGACGCGGAACATATCCAGTGGTATGCATTGCTAGCAAACCCGGAATCCGACGCAGTGTATGCATCAAAACCCGCACCCCAATAAATGTGTGAGCCATTGATAAACTTGTTCTCCGTTGATGGAGGAAAGAAGCTATCGTCGGACACTAAAAGCAGATTTCGATGGTTGGATTGTATGCTAGTGGCATATTCGTCAATGCATCTGTTGGGCTCAAGCTTTTCAAGGTTGCCCGCGCGTGCTTTCTCCCAGAGGGATTCAAGTACGGATGGGATTTCGCCAGGACTGGCACTGAGCCTGGTCTGCCTATTTGGTCCACCTATGAAACTGGTACGGAGCTGCGGGGATTGTTCTGTGCAATTCGTGCAATTTTCTCCGTCCAGAAATGCTCGCCCAACGGAGAACACCCAGTAACTGTTGGATGATATCGAACCGAACACCGCAGAATTGTAACTGATAGATGTAAGTAACTAAAACGCTAAGATCAGTCAATGCCTTACAAAAGATGCAACGGCAAGGATGATAGTCCCAATGCTGCCCACAGCACAGCTCTACGCCGGCTGATATGTCCGAGATTGCGTATGCCAGGTACACCCACATCGAGGTATACACTAGGCTTGCGACTGTGGGCAGAATCGACTTCGCTTCGCGTTGGTGCAGATAAACATTGCATTGTATAGTTGCTCCCAGCCAACAGGATCGTACTCAAGATGTTGATGCCAAGATGGAGCCCGGTGTTCAGCCTTTTGACGTGATCGCAATCGCCATCGAAGAAGACACCCTTGGCGCCAGAGGTGGCAGCCAAACCTGATACCATGGCCACGAAGTTAATGAGAAAGACCACTGAAGCCAAAATCGCGAAGTTGAGCACGCCAAACCGCCATCCAGTGAAGCGAGACCCTAGATGTTTCTCCACCGCACGCTTGCGCAACCCAAGTATCGATGCTGCCTTCGCGCGAATGCTTTGTGGTAGCTGCAAGCTCCCGAGAGGTTTTCCATTCCGGTCAGTTTGGGCTGTAAGCGGTACCTGCATCTCGAGATTGCTATCGGATCTCCATTCGGGGTGTATCGTTGAGCGTATCCTAGAAGGCAATAACCGCCAAATCGAATCAGGCATTGCGAAACCGATGAGCAAAAATGTTAGATCCGGTCCAAATAGACAACGTAAAAGAAACAACGTAAAAGAGACAACGTAAAAGAGATCAAAGAAGCGCGTAGTACCATGCGAGATATCGCACCCTCGCTGGTACGAGCCCACCTATCAGCAGTGCCGCCTGGTTTTTGCCAAGTATACCGGCCGCACATCCTGATGGGTTGAGGCTTACTCTGAGCCTCCTGCAAGGCACCCCGCGCCACATTGGGGGCCAAAGTCTGGATGCTAATTCGGTTCTATGTCGCTAATCCGTGTGGATGGACTACGGTGAATGGACGACTATCGCACGCGTGTAGGAGCGTGAGATCAATGTTCATAGTCATCGTATCCAAGACGTAGACGCAAGGCGACGCGGGTGCGAGGAAGGTTCGTTTTCGTCGGGTGTTGCGCACCTCGGAACTAACGGAAGCTGTCTTCCCGAGAAGCAGCGCGCCCAGCAGCCTCCCCGGGGCAGGGCTGTGAAACAGCACCATCAGGGTGTGTGACAACGAAAATAACCATCAGCGAAGCCGTTGGGAGAACAGCGGTCTCGACTCAGGCGCACCGTCTGCACGAGTCATGAATGGACTGGGAAAAGGTGCTGGCCGGGAAACGCGACGCCGCGTCTTGCGCGCGACATGTTCGCGTTGCTGAGGAGCGGTAGTGCGGCAGAGCTCGGGGCAGAGCCTTCTCAATGCTCTTTCGTCACCGCGGCAGCATGTTTGATCGTGTTTAACGAGCGAAGATCTACTGAAAATAGAGTCAAGGAAATTGCGTGCCTCGGGGCATCGGTAAAGCACGTCAGCTTGCGCGTGAAGGGAGACCCGAGGACCGGTCCGTGGCCACTTGGAAGTCACCGGATGCGAATTCGACAATCGCAGTTTTCGGGAAGTGGAGGTGATGTAAATGATAATCATAGTTTCATTGAGTTCTTGCCTGTTAAGTTTAGCGGCACATACTGGCAGATGCGATCGAGTGTCTTTGATCAAGCATCGCAGCGTAAGCATCATAATAATATAGTACATGTCAGATAGAGTCACTTCCGGTGAGCCATCCGATTCCACCATCAACGCCGATTCGCCGAAGAAGAAACCCACATCGAAAACCGTAAATCAATGCAGCCGAAATGATAACTGAGACGTGTTTTGTTGCCGTTCGTGGTGTAAGGAAACAGGAAGGAAGAGAAGAGATGGGTTGAGACGCGTCACATCTCCATCGCGTCGGTGTCTGCAGTCGCCATAGGGGCGTCGGCGACTGGCTGGGAAACGGGTGTAGAGGCAGGCGACGGCGTCAACTGGCGAGCATTGATGCGCTCACCCTCAACACGAGGAGTTGAGCCGAACATGAGGTTGCTGACAGTTCGCTCTAATGACCAGCCAACGAGCTGGCACCACTGAAGGTTATCCGAGAATAACCAGTAGCCCTGGACACCGTGTTGCTTAGCGCGTACGAGATACGCGTTGAGTGATTCCTTCTCCAACATGACCAGGACGTCGGTGAAGTCGAAATGACGCTCAATCACGCGGGAGTATGCGCGTGCCGCGTCGCGTAGGTTTGGGTTGGTCATGACGTTCTTCCAGCCTACTCCGAGAGATGCGATGAGCGTGTTGACGGTGTTGCCTTTGTCGTCGATGAGCTCTTCGGTCTTCTGAGCATCCATCTCGTTGAGGGGAGTGATTTCGACATTGGCAGTTGGGCTCATGCGGACTGACTTGCGCGATACGGCGATAGGGCGAGCTTCAGCTTCAGCCTTCTCTTCTTTCTCGACCTTCTCTTCGTACCAGGTGCCCGATTGCGACTCGGCTGCCATGGTGTAGCCAGGCTCTCCAGGGTAGATGAGCGTCATCCCCGGGCCGTACACAGGCTCGGGCTTCGGCTTTGAAGGCGATTGAGTGACGATTGAT